TGTTCCACGGCTTGTTCTAAAAGGGATACTCAGCAGAACTTGCATTTTTTTTCTTTCATTTTGTGCTGTCTGCATGAGTAATTACCTCCCTGATTTCTGAGATGCAATTGAGTAGCTTCCACATTAGAAAAATCCAAAGATTGATAGAGCCATCTCTCCTAAAGGATTAGACTGCTGCTGTAATTCCACGGAGTAGGTCATTCAAATAGCAACACGCTACAAAGTTTAATTTATCTGGTTTTTAAAAGCTAGATATTGTTACCAATTCAAGCGACACTGGAAAGGTCTCATAGGTCTTTTATATAGGTGATGATCTTTTATATTCCCCTGCAGCATTGCTTCCTGCCCTCATGGAATGTGTCATCCCAGGAGATGACCAAGGTTGAGTTCACTATTTTGAAAATAAAGCATATGACAATTAATTTATTCATCTGTTAACGATAATTTCTGAATATCTGTGCTGATAACTTCAGAGCAAGCTGAAATCAACTGTGCAAACTTCTTTGCAGTATTTGAATTATGAAGAAGCCTTACAACCTGCTTTAATAATGAAGAATTACTTCTTTTAAACAGGTGTCATCGAATGGGGTAGGCTGTCATGGCAAAATAGCATAGACTGGTGGAATAAAGAACAGAAATTTATTTCTCGCAGTTCTGAGGGCTGGATATCTGAGATCAGGGTGCCAGTATAGTCAAGTTCTGGTGAGGGCTCTCTTCCTGGGTTGCAAATGGCTGCCTTCTCACTTTGTATTCACAAGGTAGGGGGAGAGAAAGCTATCTCTGGTGCGTCTTCCTCTTTTATAAAGACACCACTTCTAGCAAATCAGAGATCCCTGTCTTTATAACCTCATTTAATCTTAATCACTTCCTTAAGGGTCCAATCTTCAATACAGTTATACAGGGGGTTAGAGCTTCAATATACGAATTTTGGAGGGACAAAATCCAGTCCATAACATGGTTTGAAGAAAAATAAACAGCCAATGAGAATTCACACATTTATATGCATAAAATCTGTACAATTCCCAATTCATGTTATGTGTGAAATCTGGGCTTGGGCTCTGGTTCTTTTCTTTCTTTCTTTCTTTTTCTTTCTTTTTTAAACTAATCAGTCTGGTGGTCCCCTGTATCAGGCAGGGTATCTGGCATCTGTACCACAGAGATTGCAAAAACCATTACAAATAAAATTATTTGAGCTAGCCAAAGAAAACTGAATCAAATTTTGTTTATTCCCTCATACTTTTCAAGTTAGCTTATTTATTATGTTTACAAGCTTATTTAATTTGTTGCAGATGTTCAGTGGACAGTTTTGTAAGCATTCACTGTTAGAATACTTTTTCATAAAATCCATTTTCCAAATGTCTCAATAATGACAAAAGACCCCCTAACAGAATATTAAGCCAGGAAATTCATCTAAACATCACAACTGTAATCATAAGTGGTATAAGCTGTAGTTGCTGTCTGATTAATTTTGGCTCAGTGTAATGTTGCTGGAATGATTATTTTTGACTCAATTTTTTTCTCTTTAAATAAAAGTAAACACCAAAGTGAAGAGGATATAGAAAGAAATGGTGGCCTTTTAAACTAAATTATCAATAAAAGCAGTGAGTTTAATTCTCAGATAATCTTATAAAAATGGGCTATTTTCTAGCAGCAGTATTGAAAATAGACTCATACTTTCTTGATAAAATGACTGTTTTTTCATTTAAATATATTTTTACTCTATTTACGTAGTTGGGTACATTTGTTTAAAAAAGTTTTCTGTTATTTATTCTTGGCTTTTAAAACTAGTTCTGTTCCATAGTCAGTTTAACTGAGAAGCAAGATCTTTGTAAATTCGCTGCACATTTAATTAATAGAAATCCAACCTCCCAAGACAAACCACAGATGCTGTACATATTTAACAGGGTCTTCTAACCAGCTGCACTAATCTGGGTTGTAACACTACCCTGTAGCTAAACATCTGGACAGAGCTAGAAAACAGAATAATAAATAGTTTTAGATTTCTTTCAGACAGATGCCTACAGGTGACATCACAAAACATAAACATGGAAATAGAAACAGAAATATTTGTTGCCTGATATAGCATTACCACTTGAAAGACAGGTCATGCAAATTTCTCAATACTGCCCTCAACAAATTTGACTTAAAACAACACCATTTTCCATTTTATAACTAGCTGTCAGATTGCATAGTATAAAATCTTAGAGTTCAAACAGAGATGAGGTAGTACAGTTATAAAAATTGTACCATATCTTGAAAAAGCTAAAGCACTGTCTCTCTTATGATTTAGTACTTATGTTAGGAATAAATTTAACTTCCCTAGAGAGCATCATGTCAAAAAAATGCTCTTATATCCTAACCCTTCCCACTTTGTTAGGACACCACTGAATTCACCATAAGATTGGTGAGAACTGGTTGGTTACTTTAAAAGCTTCTATCAGAGGGGCAGATTTTTCTAACTGTACAGAATTTAATAGAGTAGTTGACATTATTTGTTTTCATTTTAACACAGTTGGGAGTTGAAAGGGCTTCTATACCAGTTGCTTTGAGTATCATGCTTCCAGAGTAGCCAAACAACTTCTCCTTGTTTTCAGAGTAGATTTAAACATATTTTGATGAACAGAGAAATAATAAAGAATGTCTTATTCCTAATGGCAAATTTTCATTGTAAGAGATAGAAATTCAAACTATAGTTATACAATAGACACATTCCTTCCAGAAAGGGATTAATTGTAAATATATGTCCCTTTCTCAGATTGGAAATCAAGAGCTATCATATTCAAATAATTTAAGCCTAAAATAAACATAGCCAATGCATACAGGATAGGTTATTTGAAAACTTTAGTTTGATTCTGCAGGAACACTATATATTAAGAAACTAGTTCTTATCCCCCTGGGAACTCATAGTTCATTAATTAAGGTCTCCATGTAATCCTAGATAAAATCCTAGATAAAATGTGATAAAATCCTAGATAAAATAAAAAAATTTATTTTTTTATTCAAATTTGTCATTCAGTAATTTGGAATAAACATTCCCAGTTCAGAGTTTGTTTTTATCCTCTCAATGTTATTTCAAACATATCTAGAAAGTCAGCTTTAAAAGCTTTCTTAGGAATGCATACTTAGATATCAACATTCGTGGAGGACAATATTATTCTCTTAGGCTCTTAGACCTAGGTTTTTTTTTTTTCTATCATATCTTTTAGAAGATTTAATTGCCTCTATATTCCAATAAAAAGGTTGTCTCCATATGAAAAAAAATTAGAGGTTTTTGAATGTTTTTTATCCTTTCTATTGTAGGAGAAAGTACTCAAATATATGCTGTTAAGAATTCACATCATTGCTGTAGCTGAAAAAAAAACAGAAGTTTACCATTTGACGATGAGAGAGGAAAGAATACCCGGAAAACTGGTAGTTCACTGAGCATCATTTTCACTGTAATAAAAAGGTAAGTAAGTTTCATAAAGTGTGTTTAGAATGGTATCAAATTAGGAAAAAGGATTTTCTCATTCTAACGTTCAGTGTCTGCATTGAAAGACAGCCCAGGGTTTGGGGAGTAGAAGAATTCTAGAGACACTTCGTTAGAGGATAAAGTCATATCTAGACAAGAACCAATAAATTAAAATATAATAGGATATAATTGTATGAAAATAGAAGGATAAATAAGCTGAACATAAAGACATGGATTAAGAAACTAACTTTTATTTACTTCATTTATAAACACATTTATGTGTATTTGTATATAATTACATAGCTAGAAAGATAGGTAGATTAATAGTTATATAAAGATATCTATCTATATTCACAAATCTATGCATATATTTTTTCCAGGAGCAAAAGTCTAATATTTGATAGAATATTTCCTCCAGATAGCAAGAAAAAATCCTACTTATACAAGTGTAATACTTTGTTATTATTTTACATTTATCACAAAATGCCTCCTTGTAAGTATATTATGTAGCATACTCTCCAAACTTTTGCTAAGACAACAATACGTGGGAACAATTATCTTGTCAATTTACTCTGTATAACATACTTGACTCAAATTATTATTTGGAAACTATTCAGCCCAGATAACAATGCATGTGGGGTATCCTCAACAACGTATTTATATATTTTTAAAACAATTAATTGGAAAAGATTGATATCAAAATTGTGGAGTAAGGGCTATACATAGTACAATCAAAATATTATATATTATGTATATACATATATACTACAGGTGCATGTATATAATATGCATATGTAATATATATGCACAACACACATATGCATTGTGTGCATGTACTTATATTTTATGTATAGCTATGTAGTATATATGCCTAAATAGTATATTTTAAAATAATATATTTTCTAGGTAAAATATAAGTATATATATTGATACGTAACAGGATGGATTAGGCAAATCCAAGGGATCATCAAACGTGCAGAAGTCAAGGGTGAGTATCCCCCACTGAGTAACTTCTCTGATTGCTATGCCGCTCCTTGAACACATCAGGTATGTTGCCACCTTGAGCCACTGGATTTAGCTGCTCTCTCCCTGTGGAATGTTTTTTCCCCATACAGATGCACATCTTTCTCCATTAACTCTTTCAAATCTCATTCAGGTTTCAACTTTTCAACTTGCCATGAGAATTTCCCTGACCCCCTCTTCAGAATTGCTCTTCTACACCCCTAGTCCCTGTACATCTTGTCCCCTTAGTTGCTCTAGGTTTGATTGTTGTGGTGGTGTGGTTGTTTTGTGACTGTGATTGTAAACTACTTATTACTTTTGTTATAAGTGGTTTAAATTAAATATAACAACAACAATCTTTGTAGTAGTATAATAACCATTCATTGTAACTAATAGTTGTAGTTACAACTAATAGTTACTGGGATTCCGCCAATGAAAATAGGACACCTTCCTGGCCTGAGGCTGTGGGGATTTAAGACATAGAGATGGCATATACTAACTTATAAAATGTAAATTCACTGAATTTTTTGGATAAAAAAATAACACCTCACATTTTGACAGCACTTTATTCCATTGGATCATCACAAAATGGAGTTAAGAAAGATATCATCAGTCTTCATTTTTCAGATGAGGAAACGGAATTTAAACAAATTAAGCTTTTCAAGGTCAAATCTCTAGTAAACGAAAGAACTAGGACTATAATATGTCTCTGGCTTTTAATCTAATGCTGTTTTTTCTAAATCATTCTGCTACCCTTACATCAAAGCCCAGGTCACAGCAACTCTGATTTACTGAGGTACCGATACCAAATTGAGGGCAACCTGAAGCACCACTCATTCCAATTCATTTCCAGTTTGTACCATTCTTTTTCCCCCCTAGCTTCAAATTTCATCATTCTCTCCAATAACAGTAATAACCAAGATTTATTGGGGACCTACTCTTGACCATCATTATACTAGTTTTACATCGCCCTGTTTCATTTATATCCCATAGTAAAGGAACTCAAGAAGAAGAATTGACAGAGAGAAAAAGAAAGAGAATGAGATTGTGTTTACTCAGTCTTCTTCCAGGAATTCTAATAAATCAATTGACTGACTAGGTTTCAATCATTCACATTTTTATTCTTTCTAAATGTATCCAAGATGTAAAGATATCTGCTATCTAATAGGAAAGATGGAAATCATTCTCTCTATTTGCACTCAGAACAGAATTTCTTAAGCCTAACAGAAAAGAAAGTACATCATTCATGTCCCTTATTTCATAGGACCTCTTAAAGTCCCAGGAGAATGTTCTGTTCATTAAGCAGTAAGCCTGGGGTTATTGGCAAAATTTCACTAAATCCTTCCACATCACTTACTGCTGGCATGGATTTCTGTGCAAGAGAGCACATATTCTCCATCCTGGTGAAATGCCTTGTACTGGCTAAAGTGCAAACCAAATTTCCTGAATCTTAACTCCTGAGGGGAGTGCCTCTCCTCATCTTATCATCTATAACCCTACACTCAATTTCCTGGTCCAACCCCCTGCTAGATCTGGTTCATAAGGGATTAAGGAGAGGATTGAATAGAGGCATGCTGATCTCTAAAGGAACTGAATTTACTTCCTGCACACTAAAATCTTACTGTCATGCTTTATTTTCTGAAGGGATTTTTCCTCCAACACCCTCAAATGAGATTGGGAACCCCTTCTCCAGAAACTGAAAACTTGCTTTTAGCCTGTTAATTCCCAAGTCACCGGAAAACCTGGTTACATTACCTGAAACAAGCCGAAGGGTATCACCAGCTTCATCTTAACTAGGTGGAATGATCACCAGAGATACCTGATTCAGAAGGTATTCCAATCGTCTCTCCCCAGAATGTGGCATGTGGGAGGGGCAGTGCTTCTCAGAATCCTCGTGCTTATAAAAAGGAACTGGATAAAGAAAAGAAACTAATAAAACAAAACAAAAGAAAACAAGGCAACAAGGGCAAACACACTGTAATAAAAGATAACAAACACGTGTTTTTTTTTTAATGCATGGGTTCAAGGATTTTTAATGCATAGATTTAGAAACTAAGGATAATTGATTCTAAAAGGCACTTTTTTCAATTTAACATCTCTAAAATCAGAATCATAGTGGTACAAAAAGTAAGCTGCATTTTACAATGAAACAATTTATATTGTTATGCTCTTATAAATAAGAAAAATAACAGTTGTCCAATATCTTACCAAATTATTTTGAGGTTACTTTCAGCACATAACGAAAATTTCAAATATCTTACCTATCAGACATTGACTCAGAAAAATAAAAACGGAATCTGGTTTAGGAAAAATAATTTTTATGCTAAAATTGTAATAAGTAAACTGAAGGCATTAGAACAGGAAGCAAAACCCTGGGGAGGTAATTAATGATTTAAAGTTTCTAGTCTGACTGGAAGCATTCATTCCACACACTGAAGCATAAAAATTATGTTTATGCTTATGATATCGTATCAGAAAATAATAAATGTATGAAAGTTATGTTTTATAAACATTTTAGATAAAATGTAAATATTACAATATAATTTTCCATAGAATTCTTATCTTAAGAAGTTGAATAGAGGTCAGCTTAAACCCCTTTGATGAAAAATCTTTGGATAAACCAAAATTCCTTTTTCTATTAAAATGTCACCAATACCAATATTACTAGATCGTGTACAATACCTACTGTATTATGTATTCTGACCCAGGCATCCGTCTTAAGGAACATGCTTATGGGGACAATCTCCGCTAGAGGCCAGCAAGACAATTTTAAGAGACTCCAAGTTACACTGAGGATGTGGTATATTTGTCAGTAGACTCAGACTCAGGAATCTGCACAATGGATAAATATGTAGGATTTATTAACATATTCAATTTTTAATTAAAGTACAGTCAATCCATTTAACAGTAAAGGACTAAAAGTAGAATTAGATGATAGAGGAAATGTGGAGAAGGTATAGCTGGTTGAACAGTGGTCTCCAAAAAAATATGCCAAGTCCTAACACTGGCACTAAATGTGACCTTACTTGTAAATAGATGTCTTTGCAGATGTAATTAGATTAAAGATTCCCAAATGAGATCATCCTGGAATTAGGGTGGGCTCTCAACCCAATGCCTGATTTCCTTAAAAAGAAGAGAGAGACTTAACAGACAGACACACAAAGAAGAAGTCCACGTGAAGAAAGAGGTAGAAAGAGGTCGGAATGGTGCAGCTACAAGTCAAAGAATGCCAAGGATTGCCTGCTGCCACCAGAAGTCAGGAAAGAGACATGGAACAGACTCTTCTGCGGTGCCTTTAGAGAAAAAAAAAAAAAAAATCCCTAACAGTTTGATTTCAAAAATCTCGCTTCCAAAACTGTGAAAAAGGAATTAATTTCTGTTGTGGTAAGATACCAAGTGTGTGGTAATAGGTTACAAAAACTCCAGGAAACAGAGGAGTTGAGAGTAAAACTGCAGAGAGAGGACAAAATAGGGAGAGAAACAAAGTATTATGCAAATAAGACGAGATGGTAGACTATGCCATTACTCACCCTAGAAATATAAGAAGTGCTAAAGGTAAGTAGGCAGCTTTAGCACTGGCTGCATTTTTTATGATAAAATAAGACTTTGTCAGGTGCCATCATATGATCTGCCCTTCAGTTTCCATTTCCAAAACAACGGGAAGTATAGCAGAAAGATTAAGCATATGGATACTGAAGGCTAAACTGCCTAGTTTCACATCCTCCTCCATTTCATAGCTTGTGTTTTGTATTTGTGTGTTTGTTTCATCTGTAAAATGGTGATGATGATAAGACATATCTCAGAGTTTTTGAAAGGATTAGATGAATTAATATACATAAAGTACTTAAAACACCATACGATCTATATATGTGTTTACTTTTATTATTCAAGGTATCGTTGCCATCAAAGTTTGTGAATTCTCTAATTTTAACTCAACAGTGTTACAGGTCTAATGCACAGATTTAATTTTTGAAGTGAGCAAATCATATTACATTACAAAAAGGATGAAAATAAGAGTGGGAACTCCAAAAAGGAGTTCAGGAGATAGTGAGAGAATACAGAATTGAATCGGGGCTCTGTTGAAGAGGCTGACTTCTCTGCTGTGCTCTACAAAACAAGATACCAGCTAAGGCGGCACTAAGAAGGGCCTCCAGAAGGAAGGTGGGGCACTCTAGGGCCATATGGTCATTTCAGAGGTCCATGGACCCACTTCTATAAAAAACATCCTCTCCTCCTATACTTTGTCTCTCTGCATCTGTAGTTTGAGATTATATTTATTATTTTTTTTCTATTTAGTTTTTTCATTGCTCCCTTTGTTGAACTCTCATTTTGATCCAGTTTCTTTATCTTCTCATGACTTTTAATTTCTTATTTTGTATTTTCCTTTGGTCATCATCAATATTATTTATATTGTGTTCACTTGGAAACTGAATGGTGATTTTATCCCTTATCCTCTTAGATTGTTTAGAAGTAAATCTTATGTATCACATAAACACATATTATACTCTTGCCCTCGCTTGCACCTTATGAAGAAAATCTTCCCCGATTTTTCAAAGTGTCTTCTTCACTCTTCCCTGATCTTTCTAAGTATCTTCTTTCATCCCTGCATTATATAAGAAGACCATTCTCATTCACTGAAACAAGAAGCATTTTACCGCATTTTAAAATATTGCATGGCTTGATAAATATCCCAAAGGGAGTACCATTTTTCTAGCAGTTTAATTCTTTTGAAAGTGTCAACTACAGTATACTGAAGTGTTAATGTTAAAAGAGGCCTTTAAAAAAATCTTTTAAAAGCATTTTGCACAAGTGTAATGGAGTCCAAGTTAATTTTTTCATTAAACATTCATGAAAAAGAAAATGTGGAAGAGCTCAACCTTTTTCACATGAAAATAAGATTTAAATAATCCAAAGTGATAATTAAATGTGGGTATTAAATAAATTGTAACGTAGTAGCAAATTTTTAAGTAAATTCTATTTTTTTCTGTACCAGATATCCCCCACAATTTCTACCCATCATCTCTTACCTTATGATAATATATAGGTAATACTATAATCATTTTCTTAAAAATATTGAGCCGTGTTTACAGCTTTAACTAAAGTTAGTCATATGAGCTAACAGGATCTCTAAGACTCTGATATTTTGTGATGATGTAAATTTTGCATTAAGGCTTTCTCCTTGGTTCAAAATCTAACTATAGGACCACTGCAAGTGTTTAGTAAATCATCATCCAGCTTTTTAATATACTCTAACTTTTCATAAATATCACAGAATATTTGGAATAGGGGAAAGAAGGGAAGAAAAGAAAGGGAAGGGGAAGAAACAAAAACCAAGTTGCATTTATTTTTACTTTGTGATCTAGCACAGTAATTATTTTGCCTACCTGTTGGAGGTGGACAGAGCTGAAACAATTTTTTTTAATTTTGTTCATATTTAAGAAAGTGTATAAATTTAACCTTAGAAGAGGAACTTCTGTTTGAGGTCTGGAGGTATATGTGACATCTGGGTCCCACGGCAAGAGAGCAAGACTACCCCACAGTTCTGTTTTCCCTGGGTTTGGAAGAAAAACAGCTGCTTCTGTGGCCATTCAAACCTGCTGCCATTTTGAGTAGTCTTCTTCCACACCTCCCTGAATTTCAAGCTCCTTGGAAAATGGTGCTTGCCATCTATACCTATGTAACAAACCTGCACGTTCCACACATGTATCCCAGAACTTAAAGTTAAATTTAAAAAAAAGAAAGAAAAGAAAACTGAAAAAACGAGAAAATGCTGTTTGCTTTATGAGGCATATCAGTTGTGTCTCTACGATCAAAATTCTGTTAAATCTCAAGGGGCAAAAAGCAGTGAGGCTCTGGGAAAGTTAATGTACCTCTTTCTCCTTGTAGAGCCTCCTCTTTCTTACCTTACAGATAGGCAACCAGTTTTGTGTGTTCTTGCCTCATGAATTTTGACTTTTGTAATGGAGTAAAAGACATGAAAGATAATGGCAAGTGTCCAGGAGTGTGAGCTTAGAGGGAGAAAGCTTCTGAAGTCAAGGAGAATCCCTAAGACAGGTAAGAGAACGTGTTTTTTACCTCTGTAATAACAGTAATCATTCAGATATGTGTAAAACATATCTAAAGATAAGGTCCTTGCCATTGAAGTTTCAAGGCTCATAGAATCCCGTGCCTCAAGAGTAGCAAAGTAGTTGAAGAGCTTGCATATTTAAAGGGGAATCTCTAAAGTTACCAGTGCGAGACAATGATTGGCTCTTCCCTATATCTCAGTTCTATGAGTGACTGTCATAACCCTTTTAGGGAGGGTCTTATTATTCAGATTAAATTTCCAAACAGTCTTGTAGGAGGAGAATCTCCATGTTAGAACTGGGTTGATTTTTAAGAAAATAGAGGAAAGCATTGGCTCCCACACACTGAGTTTGTAAGCTAAAACCTGTTAAGCTTTAAAGTGACCCTTATTGTGGGAATTCTGAAGGAAAACAGTGTCCTGTGGCTCTTGGAAGTTTAAGCAGAGATGGCAGGGGAAAAAAAAGCAAGCCATAGGAATAGAATAACAAACAATGTCCTTGGGTAAGAGAAAACCAAATGGCCAGAAATTGATGAAACAACAACTTTTCTTGAGATAGAGTTCATAAAAAAAAAAGCATTGATTTGAGAATGGATGTTGTACATCTCGATTTTATACACAGATCTACCTACAGTTTTACATGTGTGAAATACGAAAAGTCTATTGCATTACATGATTCTTTTCAACAAAGCTGCTCATGATCATTGTGATCACATACAGTGAGAAATATTCTGTATGTAATACAATATTAAGTTAGAAAAAGAGAGAGGTTACCTCTAAAATGAAACTTAGATATTTTTATACATAACTATGAAAACAAAGTATTCATTGATCCTATATGATCAGATATCTATTGGGTCAGAATAGCAGGAATAAAAAAAGAGGGAGACTGTTCATAATAGCAAAGACCTGGAACCAACCCAAATGCCCATGAACAATAGACTAGATAAAGAAAATGTGGCACATATACACCATGGAATACTATGCAGCCATAAAAAAGGATGAGTTCATGTCCTTTGCAGGGACATGGATGAAGCTGGAAGCCATCATTCTCAGCAAACTAACACAAGAACAGAAAACCAAACATCACATGTTCTCACTCATAAGTGGGAGCTAAACAATAAGAACATATGGACACAGGAAGGGGAACATCACACACCAGGGCCTGTAGGGGGTTGAGGGGCTGGGGAGAGATAGCATTAGGAGAAATACCTAATGTCGATGACGGGTTGATGGGTGCAGCAAACCACCATGGCACACGTGTACCTATGTAACAAACCTGCACATTCTACACATGTATCCCAGAACTTAAAATATAATAAATTTTAAAAAAAGAGGGAGATATGGTCTTGTCCTTGGGGATCTCACAAAGTGTCTAGGAAAGCCAAATCTATGAATGAATAATTTGAAAACAATGTATTTATCCAAATGTTAGCATATTTGGCAGAATGTTATAAACATCCAGAGAAAGAGAAGACTGACATGACAGGGAATTCTCCCCAAAGGATAGGGAAAGAATCAAGAAGAAATTCAGGCCATAGAAAGATCCTCCTAAACACATATTTTCTGTCAGATTTACTTTAACAATGGACAAGTACTGCCACCATATTCTAAATTAAAGTAAAAATAAAAATAACCGAAATAAGAACAATTGATGGGGTCTGTGCATCAATATTTGAAAATTTATATCACATATATGTTTTATTACCAAATTTACATTAGCACAGTAAACATGAAAGTCTAAATTTACCAGTGCCCATGGGAAGACAAAATAATCAACTCTCAGTATCCAAAATTTCTCTTCCATTTTACTCCAAGTACACCCTATCATTCACTTAAACGCTGGAATTACTACACATAATAAAACACATCCAAATTTACCCCAACACCAGAGATTCTCCCAAACTCTAAGTTTCAGCTGTGGAAAGGAGCAATTGAACAGACTTGATACTCAGACCATCACAAGTCTCCTAGGTAAATTCTGAAGGTTTGGTAAAATGATAAAAATCTACTCCCCAGCAGGAAGTCCAGTTGACTACCATAGTTAGACATGGAGCTCTAATCATTATTCAGCATGTCTTAGAAAAAAGTCTAAAATCGTGGGAAAACTCTTCGTTTTTTTCTTCCTTAAGTGGCACACAAGGAGGTGAAAACCTACAAAAGCCATTCAACACAGATCTTATTAATCAACATTAACTGCCTGCCCTAGGAATTTAGTCCTGGTTCTCAAAAGCAAATAATAAAAAGTAAATTTCATCACACAGGGATTTTTTTTTTTTTTGGTTGAGTTTACAAGTGTAGTAAAGAGATTAAACAAAATGGCCTTAAAGGCCACAAATGTCCAACAGAGAAAGCTTGCTTCCTAGGATTCAAATCTATTGCAAAAATTACCTGTTTTTATCAGACAGTTTTCTTTTGATTTCTATAAACTCGCTGAGCTCCCTTATACTCTCATTGCACACGAACCTTTATGAAGCTCCAATTAATTTCATTGTTTATCTAAGTGAATAAAACTACCATTTCATTGCAGTTAAATCAGATAAAGCATTCATGTAATTTTGATAACTGGTGCACGTGATTTTTCAGTATTTCTATGTATATGTTAAAGATATTTGGACAAGATTGTTAGTAGATACATTCTGATGGCTTCCCTGTGGTGTTAATTTCACCAATAAAATATCCATTTGGCATGTAATATAACAAATAAAAGATTTAGTTGGCATTGTTAGACCTCAAAAATGGACCACCAGAATGATTGCTTATATTCTTGCTCCATAATTAGTTACTTAATTATTGTGAGGGAGTTAATTATGTAAGTCGACTAAATATTATGAAAGGATAATATATGAAGGCTAGCTCATAAATTCTTTTTTTTTTTTCTTTTTTTGAGACAGGGTCTTGCTCCACCAGCCAGGCTGGAGTGCAGTGGCATAATCTCGGCTCACTGCAACCTCCGCCTCCCAGGCTCAAGCGATTCTCCTGCCTCAGCCTCCCGAGTAGCTGGGATTACGGGCGCCTGCCATCATGCCAGGCATTTTTTTTCTTTTTTTTTTTTTTTTTTTAGTAGAGACGGGGTTTCACCATGTTGACCAGGCTGGTCTTGAACTCTTGACCTCAGGTGATACTCTCACCTTGGCCTCTCAAATTGCTGTGATTACAGGCGTGAGCCACCATGCCTGGCCTAGCCCATGTATTCTTAACTTGGTTTTGTGTTATAATCATGCTCAGGGAGTAAACATTTCTAGCCAAAATTCAGCAATCTAGTTTAAGTATACAAATCAAGTTAATAAATGTATGCGTTGATCTACAATGGGTTTCCATCTTCCCCTAATACCTCCTGGTTCTATTTACCAACTAATTACCAAATCTGATCTTTAACAGAAATTAATACTGTTTTAAAAATAAGTAATTATTAATTTATAAATTAGGGCTGGGTACAATGGCTCACGCCTGTAATCCCAGCACTTTGGGAGACCGAGGTGGGTGGATCACCTGAGGCCAGGAGTTTGAGACTAGCCTGGACAATGTGATGATACCCCATCTCCACTAAAAATACACAAAAAATTAGCTGAGCATGG